GGAATTTTCTAAGTGCGGCACATTATCCGACGTGCCTGTGCTTATCAAGCGGCCAATCCGCGCGGTCGCCCACTCGGCGGAAAAAGCGTCGCGTAATCCGGGCTTTAGCTCGAGAGAGAGAGAGAGGGTACCGCGCGCGGCGTGGGCGTCACATGCGCGCGGTGCATTGTGCACCCACACAGAGCGCGACGTCGCGTCGCCTACGCGCCCGTCCGGCGGGTGTGGGTAACGGGGCTGAACCTCGCTGCGGGGCAGCGGGGCCGGATGGAAGAAGGGGGGCGAGGGGTCGCCGGCGGTGAGCTAGTCGGGGGGTTGCCGGGCCGGCGGTGGCGGTAACGCGATAAACGGATTAACGGCGAGCTCGAACTCGAGCCCGTAGTTCGGCGGTCGGGTTCGTGCGCCGCACGGACCGGGGGATGGGGATGAGGTGGGTGGGAAGGGGGCGGTTGGCGGATGTCACGGCATCGCACGTTGCCCGACACCCACGACCCCGACAACCGCCGCCACCACCGCCGTACCTCCCTGCGCCCGTCCCTCGGAAACCCACCACCCGTCGCCGCAGCCGCCCCCGTGTCGGTGTCGTCCCACGCCGCACTGCAGCGCAGGTACCCGCGTCAAAGCTACGCGCGCGCGTGTACATCTCCACCAACAACGCCGTTCATTAGAACGGGGGGACGCGCGATAGAATAATAATTTATTATTACGCCCGGACCGTCCGCGGAGGATCCGCCGGCCGCGCGACTTTGCGTCTATGTAATGTAAATTTAATCGAGTATCGCGCGCGCACACACGCGGCATTCGTCGCCCGCTCGCTCTCCGACGGTCCCTAATATTTTTTTAATCGCCGCCGCGGCACCCGCTGACCTGTCGTGTTATTATACGCGCCCTCCACTTCGGGGATGAATTCCTCGACGGACGCGCGAGTCTGTTCCACGCCGTTGCGGAGACACCGGTACTCGCGACGGGATTTCGTGGAAATGCGAGAGCACACGGAGGAAAAATTAGCTGCAGCTGTTAAACTAATGTTGTTTTGCCGTGGATAAATTTGTCAACTGTTCGAATTAAGACGCAACGATGCAATTGTATCGTGCGACTAATCACATTTTAACTCTGATGAAGTATTGTTGATGCTACTGTAGCTGTATTTGTTAGCTGCGATGGCAATGACATTGGCTGTCCTTATTTTAACTTTTCTGTTTTAATAGTTAGATTTTAGCTCCTATGGCTAATTCTTCCTCTGCGTGAATTGGCGTTCCGGGGCAAATCTCTTAAAGCGCATTATCACTTTTCAAATTGATTGTATAATAGTAACACACATGCTTCACATAATTTCAGAAAGAAAGAAAAAATAACTATTTCCGACACTTGAATAAAAATTACTGTTACGTACGTTTACTGGAATATTGCTCCAAGTATTAGCGACGATACATCTGAACGATCTCTTATAAAGTTCCGTACGATAAATTGAAACTGTTATGTGATCAAGGAGTGTCCCTGGTGCCCCATAAAATAGCCTTCCCCCTAAATTCAAAAGCTTGAAATAATGTGGCAGGTTTTTGTCGAGATAAGATAGTACACAGAAGACATCCTACGAAATATTTTTTTCGTACATCAACTTTCAGTCATGAAAGTTGCTTAAAATGAAGAGTGACGCGTTTATCAAGTCTGCACAAACAATATGAGAAAGAAAGGGAAAAAGAGAGAGACAGAGAGAGAGAGAGAGAGAGAGAGAGAGGAGAAGAGGCAATTACCAAGCCGATCGGAGAGAATTTACTGCCGAAGCGGAAGCCTTGTATTCCCCGACGCGCTCTGTAAACGCATTCTCGAAAGGTGTTAGCGGGGGCTCGTTGCATGCGCGCATATTCGCGCGAGAAGTTTCATCAGGATCGCTGCGACTCACCGGCCGCGGGCGGACACAGGCACTTGTGCGGTACCCGAGGACATTCTCAGGCGGATACCGTGGAGGAAGAAGTCGCGCGCGGCTTCGTACGGAGGTGACGGCGCAGCTTTTACGGCCGCGCGCCTCGTTTCACGGCGGTTTGATGGTGCCGGGATGAAGCGATGGAGAGCACGAGGGCTGCGATAATGGCGAGGGGGAAACGACGGGGGTGCTGAGGAAACGACGAGAGAGAGGGGGGGGGGCGGTGGTGGAGAACGAGAGAGCAACCGAGACAAAATGGCGCAGCGCCGCTGGCTGGCGCAGGGCGCGCACGATGGGGGAGTCTCGCGCGGAGAGCTGCGGGGGGAACGAAGCGAGAACGTCGTGCCCTGCATTTTATCGCGGCGGCTTCATCTTTATTTATCGCCGATACGACTTTACGGCATATATCCTCCGTATTCCCCGCGGGAACCCGCACTACGTGCGCCGGCGAAAGAAAGAAGCCCCCTCCCCCCCGTTCCCGCAACCACCTCCGAGAGAGAGAGAGAGAGAAGGAAGACCGTGGAAGCGAGGGTAGAAGGCAACGCGATCGGAAGGGGGTTGACTCCTCACGAATGCCTCGAGCATTCCGACGGGATAATTGTCGAAGTTAGTTCCGGCGGGCGTGCGAAGACGCCGAGAGAAGGAGATTGATTTCTTCCCGGCGAAACGCGGGACCGAGTCGGGCAATATCGACGAGTACGCTACGTCTTCATTTATCTAACGATATCTCTCGAGACGTGGACAACGTTATAATTCCGAGGTGGCCGAGACACACGGTGACCGGCGAATCGGCCAATCGGTCGTGACCGTGCGATGCGTCATAGTTCCTCAACCTCGGAATAGTCACCATATTTTTTTTCTTTCTTTTGCGTAAACGTTCACCTGTGGTCATTTAGATCTCAACTCGTCCGCCAATTTCCCGCATTTATTTCGCTTAAATAATCCATGAAGATCGCACGTCATTCATTCGAGAACTCATTTCGCGTTCGCGGAATGTGCGACATTAGCGAGCGATACGTCAGGGGACGCCGCGGCGAATTTTTCCCGTAATCGCGGCGTGATCTTCGCGACGCGCGCACGCGTACACGCGCGTGTGTGCGTGCTGCCCGCTCGTTATCGGCTCGGATCGTGCTCGAAGTCTCTCCTTTGCCTTCGGCGGGCGCGGCGGGTCGAGATCCATCCGACCGACAATACAGCGAGCACGCGAGGGCCATTAAAGGAGCAAGACCTCCCTCGCAATAAACGCCGCCCGTCACGCCCGCTGGGAACGCACGCGTGACGCGCGCTCGCACACATGCGTGAGCGCGCACACACACGCGCGCGGCGAGGGAGGCGTAACGACGTAATATAGAGCGCTTCGCGCTAACGACGCCGCGCACACAGAGCGTTTCCAGTGCGCGCGCGAGCCCGTAAGGCTCGATTCACACCGAGCCGCGCGACATCCCCCCGATGCCAGACATTTGTCACTCTTTATTCGGACAGCGCGCCCTCGTCGACCGCGAAATAACCTAATGTTTAGTAGGAATTTGTAATTGTAACGTATGGAGGGAAAGAAGAGGGGATGAAAAAGGCTTAGATATTTATTCGCGGGAATCAATGTTTAGATACGGCGAGATCAAATTTTATTCCCAGCAAATAAACCGATGAATGAAAAAGCTTAGATGTATTTCGCAAAAATATGTATTCCGTCATCGCACTGAGAACCCGTTTAGTTGCATCGGCTAAATTCTTGTTTGACTATGGGCAAATAAATGTGTTGGTTGTAATAACCAAAGTTTGATTGTTCAAACCGAAGGTTCGGTTCTCGGAGGTTGCAAAAAACCAAACCTTTGGTTCAGAGAACTAAACCTTGGTTCTTATAACGAAAATATTTGCTTGCCCGTCGAACAAGAATTGAGCTGATTCAACTAAATAGGTTTCTCAATGCACGGTCAATTATTTTTCTAACCGATAAATATCAAAGAGAACATCACAGGAAAGATTTGCCTCGCAGAATTTCAATTTCTTTCTCTCGGTGTACGTAAAAATATACCGGAGAACCCAGTTTCGTTGACTCGAATAAAATTCCCGGGTAAACAAATGTTTTAATTGCGAGAACCAAAGATTTGGTTCTCCGAAACGAAAATGAAAAAAATCTGGTCCGGAGGTTTACAACCCATTTGTTTACCCATATTCAAACGATACTTTCGTTTAAGTCAACTAAATGGATGTCTCAGTGTACTTTCGCGTATTTCTCTGTCTTCTTTCCTCGTGCATCATGATTGCAAGTTCCTAATTCATATTTGGTTTCGCGCTCGCTGTCCCAATAAACGCCAATAAACGTTTAAGTCAACTAAATGAGTTCCTCAGTGTAACATGCGTTATCGATGTAACCGTTTAAGCCATCGTCATATTCGTGATGGTCAGGCATTGTATCTACGTGTGACACTCATTACGAGATATCTGACCCAAGTCATTCCATCCGTCACATACTTGGGCCCGTATCCATTCTGAACTATCTTTTACCGATAAAAGTGTTTTAAATGTGGCTTCTCGACGAATCAGGTGGTTTCCAAGCCACTTTTAGAGGCACTTTTATCGGTGAAGGAGAATTCAGAATACGAGCTTTATAGTTTCGATCAATGTGAACAAAAAAGTCCCGTGCCATTCTGCAAGCAATCATGTAAAATGTTAAGTTATTAATTATTGGAGATAGCCATGTATAGAGGCTTCTTTAATTAATAACTTAAAAATTTACGTAGTTACTTGCAAAGTGATGAGGAACTTTTCAGAACTTTTCAGAACTTTTCAGAATGGCCTAATTTTCAAGTATAGGACAGCGTTAGACATCCTGTATATACCAAACTAACCTAACCTTGATGATGTTTCTGACACGCACATATAGATCGAAGTATTTGTTACGTTTCTTTCCAAAGATTTTCAAATAGTTTTGAATGGAAAATAGCTACTAGGAATTTTGAAAATTTCCAAGTAAATATATCATAGATTTTAGGATAATTAGCCCACGACAGCATTGTCAGAAAGGTAATGGTTAATCTGTATGTGGGCGCGTGAATTTTTTGAGAAATAAAACAACTGCTTAACTGAGATTCTTGAGTGTCGTTGATTTTGCTAAATCCAAAAGTAAGTGGAGGTAAGTTACTGAAGGCGGCAATATCGCAGACAAAAACGGAGGAATATTCGTTCGTTCGTGCCTCTGTTGATCAGTTTGACTCTCACGCGTCCATTTATGGGTTAATATAACGTGAAGAAGCTCGAAAAATCTGTGCTAAATGTTTATAAATATGATTTACGATATACAACTTTGACGATTATATCGAGACAATATTCATTAAACTTAAACTTACGTGATGTTTAAAAAAAACTTGTAAAAAAATAATCGTTTTCTACGCTTTGACATATAATACTTTTGGCTAGAAATGTCCATGTTAAGCGTATATTTGTGAATGTATTATATATATTCTTCCACAGATGCATATGAATGCACGCTACTATAGAAATAATAGTCGGTTTTTTCCGCATTTTCCGTACTTTTTACATTTTTACTCTATTGATTATAATATTAATATTAATTAATCATTCTATGTTGAAAAAGATGTTTAACCAAGAGGCACAAAAAGGGAAATATAACGCGTATAATATCTACGAAACTTTTACAGATTTGCTGTCATATATTTCAACAATTGTCAGATATTGTATATTTTATATATCAATTTCTGAAAAACTAGACGGTTAACGATCTTGTAATTTTTTTTATAACATTTCTACAAGTCTCTTTTATTCGTCCTCTCGTTTTTCGTTAAAATCGTAAAAGTAATTTAGTCACCAGAAGCAAAAACGCGATATCGAAAGCTGTACATTTCGTACACGCGATACGAATAGCAGTGTGATATAAATAATGTTAACTTTTACTTTAATAATCTCAGCTTCGGTATGGCCAATCTTCTTCTAATTTTACATATGTACAAATTCGTCTAATATACCGTGAACATTCGAAAAGGTTCCAAAGAACGTTAATTTACCTTTTAAAAAGATAACAAAAGAGGTAACAAAGGAGACGAGGAAAATCGTCTCGACACTGGTGGAGAGATATTTTCGGCCGATCACAAGCGAATGAACTGACGACAGAATAGAATAAAACAAAATAGAAAAAAATTTTGTACAGGGGAACGTTCCTCGTCGAAGTAACATGCAAGTGTAGTCGGAAGAACCGCGGATACTTGAGACAATTGAAGTTCGGCGAAAAAGCCGACGGTCCAAATTACCGGTAACGTCGGCGTCCTTGCGAGCAGGGCTCGGGTCCGTTGGAGAATTGTTTGGGGGCCAGCTCCGAATTAGAACGGTTCCGGGAAGGTGCAGGTGATCGGAAAAACGGCCGAATGTCCGCGTCACGTGCGAGTAAACGTGGCCGGCGGCAAGAAAAATGGGGTACGGGGCAAAAAGAGTACGGGTGTGCGCGCGAACGCGACGGGGAAAAGCAGGGGGGTGTCGAGGAACGGGGATGGGGAAAAAAGAGGGAAAGGGATGTTGACGCACGTGACCCGAGCGGTCGCGTGCGAGCATCCATCTCTCGTTCTCATCGCCGCCCACTTTTTCCTCCTCCGCTCCTTCTCTCTCTCTCTCTCTTTCTCTCTCGCGCGGCATCCCTCTTCCTTTCGTTCGCCGACGTATCTCGTCCGCCTGTCTGCTTGTCTACCCGCGCGATGTTCGCGTCTCAAAGACAAAGAGAAGGGTGACGGTGAAAGGACTAGAATTGAGAGGGTGGGTGGAAGGGCAAAATTATTTCGCTCCCTCTCTCTTTCTTTGCCTCGTCGGGAATTAAATTACGACCGATAATCCGCGCGCGACGATATCGCCGGGGATTCGTATCGCGCGCATTCCGAGTTCCAGTACTCTCGATATTAAAACCCGGCTGAATGTACGTTTCATCTGTTTAGGGCGGAAGTACGCGGCACGTTGGGTGTAAGTGTATTTACATCTTACCGAGAAGGACCGGCGAGGTCGCGATTCCTCGATCTTACGATCACGATCGCGTTGTGAATTGCAGCTTCGACGAGTTTGGCCGCAAAAAGAACATGAGAGGCCGGAAATTTACGAGCGAGTTACGTAAAATCTTAAACTCCCTCCGATGAGGTATCCTCGCGCGCACTCTCGACTTCGTAGGAAAAAAGCTCCGGGCGCAGATTTCGCGCGAGCATCCTTTTTCTGGAAACGTTTGCGTCATAAATATGTCACGACGGAAGGCGGCCGGACGAGCGAGGGTGGAGGAAGCGAGGGGAGTTTNGGGGGGGGGGGGATTTAAGGGGCGAAGGGACCGTCGAAGTACCGCGCTCGTCCTAAATCTCGTCGAGTCAGCGTTGACGTCGTCCTCGCGATTGGCTCATCCATATGCATCGGCCGCTTTTATCGAGGCAACAAATAAACGGCGGTCCGGCCTCTCTCTCCCTCTCTCTCTCTCTCTTTCTCTCTTGTTCTCTTGCTGTCTCGCTCTCTCGGTGTCGTCTCAATTCTGTGATATCCATGCACCGGAAGCGGCCGCGCGCGATTGGCCGGCGAAATGGCGGAAGTCGTAGGAGATTAATTCGGGCCGATTGTGTGTGCGCGCGTATGTGTTAGTATGCGTACATGTGTGTGTGACCGGCCGACGGGATACTATCGACGATTTGCAAGCTGGCCATTCTCGGTCCTTAATGACCCTTGGGGCCGTTTCCATGGAATTCCTGCCGGTAATATCGCGGAAGATACTCGATACTCGCTCCGCCGAAATGCCGACGCACAGCCCTCGCATACGTGTGTGTGTATTCGCGCTTTCCGTCTCCGAAACACGCACGAAAGTTATCGATATTTCCCATGCAGGACAGCCGGACGTCACGAATCAACGCTTGGCCGATCTATGGCCGTGTCGACCATTGGCCGGGAATTCGTCATACAGTTGCGGGTAACAATCGGTTTCTCACTAATCACCGTTTCGTTCAGGAGCTGTTCTTCATCTTTCGTTTCTTTACTGCGGTGCTAAACAGCGCGGTATATTTGAATGGGGGAAACGCCATCATAGTTGAAGACTTCCGCCCCGATAGAATGAACTGAACCGTAAGAAATATATTTACATATTGGGAGTACAAATTAGTTCGGTCCGTTTTTTGTGGTCAAAAATGCATTTATTTCAGAACAAAATGAGTGAACAGATTAATCAAAGTATTGTCCATCGCTGACTACTACTTTTTCCCACTTCTCAGGCAATTTTCGAATTCCATCTCGAAAAAATGTCTCGTCTTTTGAGGCGATCCAATTTAGGAGCCAATTTTCGATTTCTGCGAAAGAAGTGAACTGGTGACCTGCCAAATCGTGCTGCATCCATCGGAACAACCAGTAATCAGAAGGAGCAATGTACAGCGAATACGGCGGATGCGGTAAAATATCCCACTTGAGCGTTTGCAAATAATTTTTTACGACTTTTGCGACATGAAGCCGAGCGTTATCATGCAGAAGAATAACTTTGTCATGTCTTTGCTCGTATTCCGGCCGTTTTTCTCAAACGAATCAATTGTAGCCCATACCGATGGCCCGTAATGGAATCGCCAGGTTGTAGCAGCTCTTCTTTGTCCTCGAATTTTTTTGGCTGTCCAGAGCGAGGCTTGTCTTCAATGCTGAAATCATCATTCTTGAAACGTCGAAACCATTCCCTACATGATTTATCAGTTGGAGCATTGTCACCATAAACTTCTACAAGCATTCGATGCGCTTCAGCTGCACTTTTCTTCCAATTAAAGCAGAAAACTAAAGCCTCCCGCAAATGCCGCTTAGTTAACACAAAATTTGACATATTCAACACAGTAAAAAACAGGGATTTTGTATGAAACTCAAAGCGATATAAATTGAATATTATTGACAGATGTCTAACCTCTCTGAAACCACCGAAATCAGCTGTCACTGTGAAACATTCATAACAGCCAGAGCCATCTTTTGAAAACGGACCGAACTAATTTGTACTCCCAATATTTAGCAGATTAGTACAAAGTAAACAATTTTGTGTTAAAAATGGCCCACTGAAATGTTTCCATTTTTCAATATGGAAAATACGTTAACAAGTATACAAATATATGTTAAATTAACTTATATTTACTTGTCAGCATATCACCTTGTCACCATATTACTTCTTAACATATTCACCTTGTTAAAATAACACACAAATTTTAGTAGACCGTTTTTATAACGTAATATTTGTTACTATGTATATATATGTATGTATATATATACTTTGTGTAGTGTCGGAGCGTATAACAAAACCGTAAACTGGAATAGCTCCCTCTTTTGTGAAAAATGACAACGTGAAGTCGAAATTCCGATTCGGGAAAATCCCACAGTTTGCTTCGATTTTCCATGACAAAGTCAAAATTTGCCACTTATCCGAAAATAACTTCGTCATTTCCGAGAAGAAACATAACTAGTCGGCCTGAGGTAAAATTAGTAACTAACTAGTACAGATTACACAGTAAAAAAATGTGTGTTGAAGATGGTTCACTGAAATTTTGTATCGCATACTTTTTAACGCATTTCCCACATTAAAGTAAGTAACACAAAACTTCCGTGGGCCGTTTTAACACCAAATTTTTTACTGTGTAAATTAAATTCTTCAACTCGTTGGTTCGTTACTGGCTGGTTGCTCGTTGAAATGTAGAACCGCTTTTGTGATTTAGTCGTTGTTTACACGGGAAAAAATTCGTCTCAAATCAATGATATTCTCATATATGAGCAAGAATATTATAGTCTCTTTGCAGGATTTTTAGTCTTGATTTAATTGAATTTATTGATGCAAGAATTATTTGCACTCGATTCAAGACTAAAAATCTTCTAAGAATATTATAATATTCTTGAGAATATTTTGTCATTGATTTACATATATAAGGCTATTTTTTGTGTAGCTATTATATATCAAATATGATAAAGTAGATGGCGCTGTTTATCATAAAAAATACACAATTTAGCTCTCGCATACCCGCCGCCAGCATTTAAAAATGAAGCGACAAATCAGAGGGTACTCCATAAAGATCCTAAAAAAAGCAGAAATGAGCGTTACGTTATTGTCTGGCAGATAGTTACAATTATTCGGCCACTGAGGGAAAAAGTGAGCGTTACGTTATTAACGGCGTCAAACACAAATTTGCCGCACAGTTTTAGCTCAACGTTCAGCGTGTCTTTTAATTCGGCGAGCATCTGCGACGTCGAAGACATCGCAGTTTCACGCATTGGAACGCGTTGGAATTTTGAACGTAGATACGAGAACTTGGCGAAATATCCTCTCGCGGATCCCGGTTATTAAAATTGCCGTATCGGGGCGCGCCGCGAGCGGTCGGCCGCAAATCCGGAAACTTTAAGAGTCGGACGTGCATCCTGCCGCGTGTCCCGAACTGCGAAATTATTCACGGCCGCCGTAGGGTCGTAGGAACCGAAGGAAGATGCTCGGCGCTCCCGGAAATCTGCATGGCAAAATCGAGAAACGTCCGGACGTTCTCGAACGTTCGGCCGGCTGCGCGGGAGCGACTCAACTCGTAGTCGCTGATCCAAGTAATTCCTGCGGCTTTTGGCATCGGCTTTTAATTAGGGGTCTCGTTACAAGGCCGCGTTCGAGCCGCGAGGTATGTCAAAGTGCGCGGCTCTTCGGCCGTCATCGAATTCCCGATGTAACGTCAAATCTCTGTTTAACATTAGGAAACACGTCGCCATTTCAGCCCGGTAGGAAACGCATTCCATTCGAGGGTTGATTTCCGTTTTGCAATATTCGCTCGATCCGTTTTGTTCTTATCGCTCGACGCTATTTTGCGTCTTGCCGTCGGTTCTCGTAGGATTAAACGTGTCTTGATAGCAACGTAGTAAAATTATATTTCCGCCCGAGTAAAGTTCACTCGCGCGATCGATCGGAAAGGGGAAACACCGTTATCCATTTGCCACCATCGATCACAATATAATACCTCGAAATCCTTTAATTTTCACCTTTTACGCCGGACTGCCGGAGAGCGGTCAATGAAATTTCCGCCGCGGAAAAATCGATCCTCGAAATTCGCAGCAAGAAATACACCTCCGCTCCAGATTTCCACGTTCCCTCTCGGCCCCTCCGACGTCTCGCGCGACTCGACTCGTCTAAAACTAAAATTAATATCGCGTATTAAACGCGATCACAGTCGGAGAATATCGTCCGCTAACAAGATTTTCAATAAAACGTGAGCCATGAATTAAGTAGGGCGAGAGAAAAAAAACCGTGTGAATGTGTGTGCGAAACCGATCGTAGCGCGTTATTTATTTCCGGACCGGCGCGAGTCGAGTTCTCCACGGATAGAGAAGCGCCAAAACTGACATAAGTATGGAAAGTCGACATGTCTCTCGGTTATAAAGTACCGAACTTTATCGAACGGCACAGTATAAACTTCGTCTACTGTGTACGGCAGACGGAACTGAAGCTGGCAGTTTCTATTTGCAAGCGCGTTTGGTTACGTTATTAGCGTTGGTTGACTTTCCCATGTGCTGAAGTTTTTTTCGAGCTATTCTGTCTAAATTTCGAGCTATTGTGTCTAAATTTCGAAGTAACAAGTCAATGGTAAGTAATTTATCAGACGGCACTATTTTATTGTGTAAATTGTGAACTTCTTCAATCATTTTGGATCTTGTGACGATCTTTATCCTCTGTCACTGAACCATTGCAAGAAAGATTAGGTTCGGGTTATTCTGTAAACCGGCAGTTGAAGCTACCGGCGACTGATTTTCCATAGTTTTTTTTTTGTTTGTATGTTTAAGATGGTCGGGAAGAAAAAATCAGCTATCGTATACTTGTAGTTTAGACTACTCTGGACTAAAAAGTCCTGTACCATTTTACAAATAACATACAAATTTTCGAGTTATTAATTAAAGAAGCTTCTATACACGGCCATGTTCAATAATTGATAACTCGAAATTTGGCGTGTTGTTTGCAAAATGGTGCAGGATTTTTTTGTCCACCTCGATCCATTCTACGCCTTCACGAAGTTTATCCCTGTTAGTCTGAGACATTTTGTACGTGGCATTATTAGAAACGCTATAATCTATAATCATAAAATATTTATTATAGTATGTTTTACTGTGTGGCCCATTGATAGGTTGGTGTTGATACGATTGGATATTTGTATTAGATTAAACAAATATGTAAGGTGTGCTTTCTGTCCCACTTCATTGGGTAGAAAAAAACTATTTATAAATATATTAAAATATAACAGTATTATTTGTAAAGAACACATACAAATTTGCTGAAGTTGTTCTGAGAACTAATTATTTCTCACAAATTTACATTAAATAAAAACTTTTTATATGTATAACTTCACTTTTTTATATGTGTAACACTTTTTTATATGTATAACTTCGCATTTCACTTTTACATCTATTTTTTACTGAAACAAAAAAGAAAATATAGAAATAAACGCATTTTTCGGTCAAGAAAACTAATCCGTGAGCTATAAATTTTCTTCATTCTCATACTCTCGCATAATTACACATTTTAAGAAACGGTGATGTATTTTTTTCTTAACGAATATTTCTATACTTTCGGAAACACCTATTAAAAATATTCTTATCATAATGTATCGGAAACATACATTTTTAGAGCAAAGAAGATTTTCTTCGAAACATGCGTTTGCTTTACTATTTACATTTTATTATTAACAATGACTTCATGTCACAGCTGTATTGCTGAAGGTTTGCGGCATCGAATAAAATCGAAAGAGTACGCGAGAAATGAAGTTTTGCAAAAATCATAGAAAGATAACGTTGACTCGGATACGCCATATATGGCGTGGTTTTCCCATCGCAAGCCGTACGTAGCGTAGGCAAGTATCCAAGATTAATCCCGCACCTTCGACAGGATTTCAGAGCTCGAAAACAGAACGGTGCGCCGGTCCCTGCTTTTCCGTTGCCGACGGCGTTATCACCGCGCCTCCCACGAGTCCGTTGCGCACCGAGGGATCTCCCGGGTGCGGACTCTCGCGGCCAGCCCGTGTCCGTAGGCGCGATATTAAGTGTCGCGCGAAACGGAGCGTCGATAAGACACGGTCGATCGCGTCGGCCGGCGCGATTCCCCGGCAGCGGGGAGACAGATCGGGCTCGTTGGCCACCGTGACCGTGATAAGATAACTCCCCCCCCCC